GGGATCTTTGCTGGAAAAACCCACTGGGCACATATTTCAGAAACAGCACTGTTGGCTGATGGCAGTAGTTTCTGGGCATGATGAAGGTGCCAAGGTGGCAGTGAAGGCTGCTGTTAAGGCCCCTTTGGATCAAGAGTCAAATACCTAGTTGATAAATGTAAAAGATTTGAAAGGAAGTGATTACAGTTTATTTCATATTCAGCTTATTAATAGGGAGGATTACTACTTTTATATTTAGACTGTTAATTGTAATTCTAGAATTTGTACATAACTACCCTTGTGATGTATTCTACTTTTTTATGTTTGTCTGTATGAACGGATTCTGTACTCTTGGTTCTATATATTGCAGATATCTAGAGCTTCATTAGTGCCAAAATCGAGCTACATAGCCAAACCAGCTGCATCGTGGCTTGATGATTTCCTTGTATGGATGTCACCTGAAGCTTTTAGCTGCTGTCGAAAATTCACAAATGGCTCTTATTGTCCACCTGATGATCAGGTACGTGCTTCTTTGTACGTTGGATAAAATTTGGATGCAGCGAGTTCAACTTCTCTTTCCTCCTATATACGTTTTGAACTTACATTCATGCATAATGTATATGTTATATGCTTTGTGATATTCTGGTTCCATTATTTCTTCGGCTTTATTTTTGTTTCTAAATTAATTGTTTAAATGATTAATCTAATTAAATATTGTTTGTTGTATCTTTCTATTTGTAATAGTAAGTATCTGTATTTTTCAGCCACCTTGCTGTTTACCAGATGAAGGCCCGTGTGGATTGGGTGGAGTGTGCAAAGACTGCACAACAGTAATATACTTTCTCCCCTGAGTTTCTTGTTTATTACATTGGATAATACTTGCTCAAAAGTTGCAAATATAAACCGAAAGGGTGAATCGGTAAAACAACTGACCTTTCTGGTTGATTCCTAGTGTTTTCGCCACTCGGATTTGGTCAATGATCGTCCATCTACGGAAAATTTCAGACAGAAGCTTCCCTGGTTTCTTGATGCACTTCCATCAGCTGATTGTGCAAAGGGTGGTCATGGAGCTTACACCAACAGTGTAGATCTGAATGGTTTAAGAAAATACTCACTCCCCCTTTTTAAAAGAACAAACATTTTATTCTGTTCCTTTTGTATTTGCTATAACATTCTTAAACTTTAAAATCTGATATACAAATATTGCTTATAACTGAACTTTCAGGTTATGAGAGTGGTGTTATCCAAGCTTCTGAGTTTCGAACTTATCATACACCACTTAATAGACAAGTAAGCAGAGTGATAAATGATGATCTTATTTTCCTTGTTTTGGCAAAAGTTTTTCACACATCTGTGTTTGATCAAATGAAAATCTTGTTAGGGTGACTATGTGAATGCAATACAAGCTGCAAGGAATTTTTCGGCGAGAATTTCTGCTTCTTTAAAGGTTTGAGCATCAATGGCATTATGCATTTTTACCTGAGCTGTTTTTGTATTCAGGGTCTAGGAATTGTTTGTAATATGGTGTTCAGGTAATTTTATCTTTGTAATTTTAATTTTTTATTAGGACTTGCATTTATGAGCCTTTTTCTATGATTGACTCTATAACTATTATGACTTAATTCTTTTATTTTTTTATTTTCATCCCTATTAACTTTTTTTATTTTTGCTTTTGGTTTTTGAAGTTAAATTCCTCCGTTGAACCTAAAGGTGATGACATTATAAGTCATGATGATGTCATCACCTGTCACGTCAACAAAATGACCGAAGTAGAGATGTTGACGTCAGTCATCATAAGTGTCACATCAACATACGACATCAATAAAAAATGTTATGCATGTATATGTAGAGAATAAAATAAAATAACATGTTTTTAGGATCTAAAATTAAAAGTTACATATTTATAAGGACTAAAAACAATATCTAGTCATATTCTTAAAACGAATATTCAACAACTAAAAATTGACGCGAATGACCGATAATTTGAGGACAAGAAAGGCCAACCATCATAAATGATTTTGTAATAGAAGAAAAACTAGATTCAGTTGACTATTATGAGGTTTTAATAATAATGAACATTACTATAATTGAATGAGATGAGAAGGGTAAATTATATTAATGCTAACGAGTACTGATTTAGTGTTATAGTTATTCTTTTTTTTATTATTATTATTATTATTATTATTATTATTATTATTATTATTATTATTATTATTATTATTATTTCTGTCGTTTACCAATCTAATATTTTACCTGGAATTGTTGTTCCTTCTTATCTTGACCTGAGTCCCCATGTTTGTTGTTATTGTTAACTCATCACTTTTTCTTGGAATGTCTTTTTGGTTATATAGTAAGTTTGACAAAATAGCATTTCATATGATTATGGATCTAGTTTCCATTTTCTCATCCTTATGGACCATTTTGTAATTGCTAAACCTGTACAGTGTACAACATTGTTGATTCTTTTGGGGTCTCCAATTCTTGTTGACTAAATTTATCTCATGCAGATGGATATTTTTCCGTACTCAGTGTTTTACATCTTCTTTGAACAATACCTGGACATATGGAAGTTTGCCCTGATCAACATTACCATAGCACTAGGTTGGTGTTCCAAAACCATTTAAGTAATGCATATCTATGCAGAATGACATACTCACGTGTCAACCTTGTGTAAGCTGGACGGTCTGTTTTGATCCTTCATTTTTCCTTTATGTTCGTACTTTGCACTTTATATGTTGAAATTTTAGCCTTTATTGACAAGGTTTATACCCATGTTCTTGGCTTCAAACTTCCAAATTCTATCTATATGGTCTTTGATGAAGTAGTTTGTCATCTCAACAATGCCAAACCGCTTTATTTCTGCCTCTTGAAAGAATATATAGCATCATCTGGTTCTTTTTACGTATGAAAGATTTCAGTATTGGGATTTAAAACTATATATCCATGGGTAATACTTATTTGCCGTCCTCTTAACATTTTTTATTGGACCAAAATTGGAAAGTGAAAATCTAATTCATGTCTACCTACCCACTTTTGTCCATGTTTTGTTTCCCCTTTCTCCTTGACATATATTCTTCAATTATTACTTGTATGAAAATGTGTCATATCAATGTGTCTTAACATTTCTGAGTGGACCAAAATTGGAAAGTGAAAATGTAATTCATGTCTACCTACCCACTTTTGTCCATGTTTTATTTCCCCTTTCTCCTTGACATATATTCTTCAACTATTACTTGTGCGAAAATGTGTCATATCAAGTCTATCTTTCCTTAATCAAATTCATTTTAAATACAAGTCTATCTTTCCTTAATCAAATTCATTTTAAATAACTTAAGGTATATCGCAGGTGCTATTTTTGTTGTTTGTTTGGTCATCACATCCAGGTATACTTAAGTCTTGCATATTTACAGTTAAAACTACAAATATGTTCTCTCCATTACAGGTATAAGTATATCTCTTTTGTGTTTTCTATTCAATGCAGCTTGTGGAGTTCAGCAATCGTATTACTAGTTCTTGTCATGATAATTTTGGACCTCATGGTATCATTTATCTTACTGTTGCAAATTTTGTTTCATCTTTTATTTGCTTTCCTTTTTACATCCTTTTTGATTCCGTAGTTACAGACTCAAACAAACGACCTTTGCGACTCCTGCAGGGTGTAATGGCAATTTTGGGTATCCAACTCAATGCAGTGTCTGTTGTAAACCTTATTATGGCAATAGGGATTGCTGTGGAATTTTGTGTGCATATAGTCCATGCCTTCACGGTTAGTCTTGTCCTCTGTTCTATAAATTGACAGGTCTTTCCTCTAGGGTTTTCAATGGAATAGTGATGTCTGTTTACTTCCTGATTGTTCGGAAAAGAGATTATGAGGATTACTAAAGCATGTGAAATTCAACCTGCTTTGTCACTAGGGGAATATTGATAGTTTGATAAATTCAGAGACTTTATGCAATTGAACCACCTGCCTATTGGTGACCATGCACATTTTCTGATCTTGTCTACATGTTTTCACAGGTAAGCTTGGGAGATAGGAACCAACGAGCAAAAACAGCATTGTGTACCATGGGGGCTTCTGTATTCAGGTTGACTATATTTACTTTTGCATTTGGAAATGCCATGGATTGTAACATATTTATCCGTGTACCATGTGTAGCTCACTATGGGTATAGAAAAAATATCTAGTAATAACTGCTGTTGTTTGATACTTGAGAACAACAAATTTTGTCTACAAACCATATATGGATCTATTAACCATCATGTATGCTTGTATGGTAAAATTTTGTTGTGATGATAAAAAATGATAACAAACCTAAGCTGATATGCCCCCATTATATATTGTATTATATCTTAGTGATTGACCTGGTTAATTAATAGTATTAAGTAAATGCATTAGGTTATTGTATTTTTCTGTAACATTTTGGTATCAAAGTCAGAGGGAGATAGGTGTGTTAAAGTGTGTTTACCCATGGAGGATACCCCACTGTACCAGGTGAGCTTGGGGGATGGGCAGAAGATGAAAACCAGGGGCTGCTGTGCGAGAGTCGTGATCAGTATAGGGGAAACCGAGATAGTAGAGAGGTTTCACTTATTTGAACTAGGGGGAGTCGATGTAATACTGGGAGTGGAGTGGCTAGCCAAGCTGGGAGAAGTAACTCTAGACTGCGGAAAATTAACTATGGTGTTCAGTCAAGGATCAAGGAGGATGATTGGCCACTACCAAAACCTCTAGACCTGAATCGGAGGGCAGTAGCCAGTGGGCTCCCTTCATATAATAACACGATGATGAAGAGGAGCCAGGAGATCAAGTTTCATGGTTCTAACCTTGAGGACAAGGTTGTTTTGCAGAGGGGTGTAATGATAGGATCTAAGTAATAGGAGATAATGGGTTTAAGAGAGAAGAAAGAGTTAATACAGAGCTAATATCCTAACTGTTTTAGTAGTTAGGAAAGGAGGGAAGGGAAGTCTTGTATAAATAGAGTTCTATTCATTGTTAAAAGGCAGTTAGTCATATTCTTTTGTATAGACAGGTCTTGGACCTTGTGAGGGGGTTAGGCTCCCATTAGATTGAGGGAGGTTATGCTCCCAGATACTGATTGTAAACTACTTTTGTTGATGAGAATACAGATAATTCATTATTTTCCAATTGTTTTCTTGTTGTGATTGTGTGAGTGAGTTGTCTTAGTTAGGCTTCAAAACCAGATACCTAACAATTAGGTTATTGTATTTTTTTTGAAACATTTTGGTATCAAAGTCAGAGGGAGATAGGTGTGTTGAAAGTGTGAGGGTGGTAGGAGGAGGTAACGATGGTGGTTTCAGAGTTGTGGGTAGCAGAAGAATTTTCAGAAGCCATGACAGATACCATGTAAGGAAAGGAAACAGAGAGAGAGAAGGAAATAATATTGAATATATAGGAAAATTGTCTTACAAAGAAAAGATAAATAATCTATTTACAACAGATAGAAAACTAAAATATATACAGAAAGAAGAGTTCACTGATAAAACATAGTAAGTTACTCTGTCTTGTGTTATCAGGAGGAGCCTTCAAATTTTAACATGCTATTACACTAGTGGCGTCTATCATGGCCATAGACTTATTGTATTATATACATTTTAAAATAACTATCATTTTTTGGATACACATGTGCGTACTGTATTTGTGCATCAACTTGTAAAATAAGCTTCAGCTTGAGGGGGATCATTATAAGAAATTAGGGTTATTTGTAGTAGACCTAAGCTAAGCCGCTAGCAGGTGGGCTAGTACTGGAAGGACTAATGCTTGGGCTTTTCAATGGTATAAATAGGTGCATTTAGTTATTGTACTTGTGTGTGATATCTTATTATCAATCTCAATACATTGTTTGTGGTCATTCGTTCTTTTCATGTTCAGTGAAAGAACTTTTGATCCATTGGACTTCGTGAAAAGTTTGACTTAGTATATAGTTCTGTACTTTTGATATAACTCTTGCTATGTTGTTAGAGAACTTGTACAGGTATATAGCATTTATGACTAAATTACAAAAATTATTTGAATGATGGTTGAATTATTGACGTGTCTGCACTATTATTTTGTTTGATATTTTTCTTTCTGTATTATTTATCTTTGTTTGGCAGTGGAATCACACTTACAAAATTAGTCGGAGTTATCGTCCTTTGCTTCGCTACATCTGAAATTTTTGTGGTATGTACATATCGCCCTTAGATCCAATACTTGATTATTGTCTGATCAATAAACATTAGAATTAATTTTTGGGTCTCTGCAGGTTTATTACTTCCAGATGTACTTGGCCTTGGTTATCATTGGCTTCTTGCACGGTCTTGTGTTTCTACCAGTAAGTCTGTGGTGTTTGGTTTTTACTCTACAAATGGCTGTAGCTTTTCATTGACGTCATGAAATAGATTTTACAACGTTTCCATTTTGAGTTTTATTGATCAAACATGGCATTCAATTTCACAATGCGTTCAACATGCCTTACAAGTGTATTAATCATTAATCCATAAAATCACCAATTGGATTACTGCTGCCTATAGTAATCGAGCACTTTACCTTTACGGCTCTGGTTCAATTACTACTTGCCAGCACTCAGCATGACGCTAAGCCCTGGCTGAGGCTTGTGGTATGTTTTGACCTTAGGATAACCTAACTTCCCCCTAAACCTTTCTGTACCCGAAAAGTATATATGCACAAAGTTTAATCACACATTTAGTTCTTATAATTATATACATTCTTCTTTTACATGTTAGACACACAAATCAGACACATTTATAGACTCACATATTAGCTTTTCACCTACAAAATCATAAACTCTACAGTTAAGACACCATTTATTTCCTCTTATTAACCACTACAATAAACTACTGACACTTACACTCTAAAATTGACAACTCTTAAACAAATACACAATCCAATTAAATTTATCACATTTAAATTTATCCTACCATTATATTTTTATACTTAAAAATCATTCATTTTAATCCTCACACCTATAATTTTAATTTTTTTTATAAGGATTAAAAATATTATATATGAAAGTTAAGACGATTTTTAATATAAGGATTAAAAGGTAAAATGTGTTCAAGTACAAGATTAAATGAGTAACTTATGTGCAGTGACTAATTAGGAAGCATCTAACGTTTCCTGCCCTTCCTTTTCAGGTGGTATTGAGCCTGTTTGGTCCTCCGTTGAGATATACAGACATTTAGAAGATGACGTGCCCTCTGTACTTCATCAGAACAGAGCCTCTACTTAGATGAAGCTTAGATTTTAACCACGCTGATCACATGTTTGATGAATAGAAAAATTGTTCTGACAAGGATTCGTAGTATCTTTTCTTTTGACTTTTGGATTGAAAAAGCTTATCGCTTATGTATCTGAACGTGTTCACGGAGGAACATCTGCTAATTTCTGACGATTGGTTGGTTCTTCACAGTTACAACAGTGCGTATATGATATAATTCCGAGAACATTTTTATAGAGGAAATGTACTATACATTGGTAATAGTTTGACATCATTCCATCACAAAATAAGTTTGCCAACTTTTAAATTAATAATGTTAAAACCCAAATCGACGGTCATTTGTCATTAGATAACAAGGTAAAATTGTTCTGTAATTGACTATTGTTGTCATTCTCAAATTAGGGTATTTTAAGTACAAAAATACCCATAACAATTCTGATAATAACCCTAAGTTCAATTTCAATGAAATATTTTCATTATTAGAATGTTCTTGAGAATCACGTTTAAACGTATAATATGGAGTTAGATAATTTTATTTTTAGAAAATATTGATTAAGCTTATACAATCATATTCTCAACTTTATACAACTAATACTTGAAATATTTTTAAAAAAATCTCTAATATAATTTACGGGGTACATTTCTCATTTATCATCAACTTGATAATTTTTATACTTTAAAATAATTTTCTCAATTGAAACGGACTCAGTTGCAGAAAAATTCACAAAAATATTTTTAATAAGTTAATATTATAATCGAAAATAAATGTTCCATTACTGTTGCAACTATATTTTGATTACATATTTGATGATACTAGAGATATTTTGATTTTGTTGACTTTGTTGTATATATCCTGAGAAGACGGGATAAACATTTTCTATTATTTTATTGATTTAAATTCAACTGAATGAAATATATATTAGTTAAAATCATTTAACGCGAACACAATTAGATGATTTTTAAATATGAAATTAAACAATGGTTATAAATTTTCTTTTTTCATATTTAAAGTTTGATTTTAGCCTCTAAAAAAAATAATAATTGGCCACCTACAACTAAATATATTAAATCACTTTTTCATCCAAATATTAAAAATATGGGAGCTAATATTTGACACTAAATTTTTCTCTTCCATTCAACTTACACTTATAAAGTATTATTTGATTATAATATTGCATTTATATTTTTTTATTTATATTAATATAATATTTCATTATAAAAGTGTTGTGCAAAATGAATGTACAAACAAAAGTTTGTGTCAAAGAATAATTTTCCTAAAGATATGGACATCGAGTTTCAATTAGCAGTAATAGTAGTAATAATTAAAACATTTGAAATTACAAACATTTTATTATTGGTTAAAATATATTGAAAATGGAGTCCATACATATTTTTTTGAATTATGTAATATTGAAAACTTGCACATACGTTAACTATTAATTGCAATCCTTTTCTAACTCTTAACTACTTAATTAACTTTAACCGATCTCTTTCTTATAAATAATAGTTAATTAAAGGAAACTAAACATATAAATTAAATCTAAAAGACGTATGTAGGCTCTCCCAACTTTACAATCTACGTGCTGTTCTTCACTTTTGCAAGTCTACAACTTGGCTTATGTAGAAACAAAAGTGTAACCTTATTAAGCTTTTGTTACAAACGTATATAAATTTTTTATTATACTTGGAATGAATTTGGGTATAAATAATGTTATTTTTTTCCACCAACTACTTCACTTTTTAATAATGCTTTACCGAAACCATAGGCTTTTTTTTTTCAGTATTAGATTCAATAAAGATTTCCATTTAAGGGAATGTAACTGAACTAGTTGAGCTGGAGTTGTCGTAAGAGGAATTCTACAAATAGAAAGAGCAACCTTTTATGAGTAGCTAAAATGATTGAAAAGTACAGAGTGGTGGTTTTTGATAGTAAACTATGTTAAAGTTGATGCATGCAAATTATGTTAGAAGTAACTTGAGAAAATGAAAGGATTGAGTAGAGATATTTGGAGATAGAAGATATATATAATGTTGGAGAGAAGGAAGAGATTGTTGATGGAAATGTTAGGATTTGAAGGAAGGAAGAAATAAATAAATAAAATGGTATTGGAAATTGTAAGTTTAAGGAGAAGGTTGAAATAGGGCAAGTCTAATGGTGCGGCTCTCATAGGTTGTGTGCAAGTCTTTGCACTCCTCAAGATCACCATCGCAGGCTAAAACAACCCATTCTCCTTCATCGTCCAAATACTTTATCACCAAATTCCCCAAATCCTTCACATTGAAACGCCTTCCGATCTCAACCTCCAAATCTCTGAAACCCCACTTCGGTTGCAAGCTGAAACGGATTTTTTCATCGCCAAAAGTAGCCTTCACTCGAAGACCTGTTTGGGAGACGTTGGGAGTGCTGAAATACAGGTGCTGCTGTTGAGGAGGCACGGTGGAAGGAGAGGAGGATGACGGTGGGGAATGGCCGTACAAGGAGGAGGAGTTGTTGTTGCTGCTGTTATTGTTCTTTGACTGAGAGGTGGCAGAGCTCAACTCTGGAAAACTGTTGTAGAAAGAGCCGATCTGTATGGCACCCTCTGCACCCTGCACCGAATCGATCACTAGCTGAAGCTTCTTCAAAGAGTGTCCTACTTTCTTTATCTTCCTCGATGGCCACCTCGTGATCCCGTGCTGTCTGCATATCCTTTTCAGAGTTGTCGGACACACTGCATATTGTGCATGCATGCATGCATGCGTCGGTTCGTTAATAAATCAACAGAACGGATATATTGAGTTTGATTGATCTGATGATCTATATATATACATATATATATAAATCTCACCTCCGATGCTCTTTGCCGCATCTTTCAGGCTTCCGGCGAAGTACTGTCTCAGAACTGGCAAACTGATGGTCTTCTCCGCCTTCGTACGCCTCTTTTCGCCGGACTTTCTGCCACGTCGCCCACCAAAATTCTGTGTTTGTGTTTGGGTCTGAGATTCATCGCCGAACACATGCTGCTCCTGAACCTCTACTGCATCGTAAGCGCCGCTGCTGCCACTCTCCCACCTGCACTTGCCTGTCACTTTGAACTCCTCTTTCGCCTCTTCCAGGTATTCCAACGACACGCACACTCCTTTCGCCTTCTGCTCCTGGGCCTGGGCCTCCATCATGTGCGCGATCCACGACCCGCATGCTTCTGCCTGCCACTGCGAGTCCGATTTCTCACTCATAACTATCTCCTCTTTGTTATTAACGTATGGCTGCGGCTGTGGCGGCGGAGGCGGTGGCAGCGGGGGCAACGTGAACTCGTCGCCCATGACAACATGCAAGGTGCGGCAAGACTGCTGAAGGATGAGGGATATGGAGCTGAGGAAGTGGCTTTGATTTTCCCTGTCACGGCAGTCCTTGGGAAGGAAGAACTCGACGACAAAATCGGTGTAGAGGCTTCTTAGAGGAATGGCGACGGCAGCGTGCAGGCCAAAGATGTTGGCGTGGTGAGCCAGAGGATACTGGGCTCTGGTGAAGGCGGCTACGTCGATCGCAAAGCAGGGCTTGGCCGTTGTGAAGGCCGTGCCAACGATTCCCTGTCCTCGCAAGAGATGATGCTGAGAAGAAGCCTCCTTGAAGCCCAGAACCTGTGCATCTCCCACAAAACACGCTCTCTCCACTGTTGACAAGTGATTCTCCGTGGAATGGCCATACCCACCACACTTTCCTCCTTGCTGGATGCAACAAGGAGCCCAGCTGAGAGCCAATGCCACATTCTGCGCCCTGCACACACACCTCATCACCTCCACAATCTCATTCACCGCTGCTTCGTACA